TTTTTTATATTATAATATATTAATAATATGCTAAATAAAGAATTAGAAGTTTAAAAAATATTGCTGTTAATATTTTAATATCTTTACTTAAGAAATTTTGGTTTAGATTTATATATTGATTACTAGGTTAAACAATAGAACAACTTATAGGTCAATTTATAAAGTAACTTATAGGTTGTCTTATCCAAGTCTATCTAAATAACTATAATTACAACTCAGATACTTGATATATTTAGTTGACCTCACTTGAGTTGAAACACTTGTCAAAAAAATTGTTATTGTTATGGGTGAATTGTATCCTTTGATATGTACAAATACGAAAATAGATAGTTTTAGGTTATTAGACAACTTGCCAGAGGCATAACAATAGTGATTTAGCAATAGTTTAGTTTTAAAATAATATTATCAAGGTGATTTATTCAATATTATATGTTAGGAATATCATAATTCCATAAAATAAGATGTCCTTTACAAGAGGAAAAATACAGAGTTTATATAACTTTCGCTATACTAATAGATTCTAAAAGCTTAGGGTAAATCAGATCTTTCATCATAAAAGATCAAGAAAAGATCACTATAACTAAAGGGGCTTACAACAATAAGTACAACATAATTATAATGATAAAGGCTTTGACTTTACAACATCTTCATTTGTTCTTCTTGGAATTCTTCTTCGGATTTCATGTTGGTTATCATTTCCGATATTTGGTTAGTAAGCCTCATGCACTAGTCGATCTAGAATTCTGATAATCAATCTGTATAAAGTCATGAGTTTGCTGTGCCGATTCATCGATCTACCTTTTAGCCTGTGATATTCGCCCAGACCTATTTTATACATATCATGCATAAATATCTAACTAAAAATATAGTATAAGTACATAATAATAATAATAAAACAATAAACAAAATAAAGTAACAAAAAAAATATCCTCATTCTAATATTTAATCCCCGAGTGGCCATCTGTATCTCTTATGAGATCAGAACTCAGGGAAGGTCAGCTTTACTCACTAGTATCGAACCCAGGTTACTCTGCTTCCAGAGTGAATATTCTAACTAGTAGTCTATATCAGAATAATTACCAAATTTCGAAAATTAACTCCTTGAAAATATGATTTGTGTAGCTTGATTTTCCAATTGTAAAATTTTTTTTTATGTAATCTAAACTTTAAATTAAATATTTGATTATCTTTGTAATCTAATTTTTGATCTAAAAATTAAAAACTAAAAATAAAATCTTTTTATAATAAAAATTTTAGTAATAACTATGCCTTGCTCACATAAAGAAAACTATAATAATCATCCTAAACTTCAAAAGTAAAAATATAAAATAAATATTATATAGATAATAATTAATAATAACTAATATAAATTATGTATATAGTAAAAATTCAGATAAGTGTAAACAAAGAGAAGTAGTAGAAGATGTTGAAGAGGTTAAAAGTGTAGAGAATGTAGAGGAAGACTGTAAATATAATAATAAAAATTTTTTTTTTTGGTTTCAACGGTAGCCACTTTATTATGTCTGAATGGTTAAGTATATACATAGTAGTACAGCACTAGTCTATATACATTTCTATTTACTTCTCGGGTCTTTCCCTCCGCAGTGTTACAGTTCCCAGTACCATACCTCCACTCGTGTATAAAGCATTACACAGCTGCTTAAAGGTGCCTATGTGTAACCATCTAGCCACTAATTTACCTCCCCTTTGGCCCCTAACATGCTAGAAGTTAACCGCCGGATCAATGGAAGGCCATGCTTGCCTATTTGCTGGGGCACCTGTCCCACTCATATGCCTCATCCACAGCTTGACCTATGCACTCGGGATCAGGACTAACCATTGAACCCCTTATTAAGATTCACAACAATCCCAATACCCACATTTGGTACTATCTTCTTACCTGAATTCTTTATCAGTCCCTTCCTTATTTCTAGCCAGCAACCCGGAAGGGTCGGTCTGCCCAGGCTTTAGGTGTCTGAAGGATGCCCTCCCCTTGGTATATACTTTCAAAGCATATGTCCTTTTCCTTTGGTGCGACAGAACCTGGCAGTTCAGCTAGTGTGTCCTCTACCATTAGGACCTGGTTGTTTGGTTTTCTGATCTTGGGCTCCAGTTCAAATTCAGCCCTCATGTAGTACCATTATAGATCATCACTATTTCTTAACTTGGAACTTCCCAAATAGGTTTTCAGTTATTCTGGTTCCTCGGCTTTATTGCACCATTGCTCCCATTACTAGATGGTGTAACCAAGATTACAGATTTCTTATCCAACCAATAATTAACAACTGTAAACCGTAACACAGGCTATTTTTCAAAATTCATCGTCCGTGGGATTTAAACTCTAGACCTGCCACTTGGAGAGGGTGACGACTAGACCACTACACTAAGTCGCCACACCTCTATAATAATAAAAATTTAAATACTATATTTAATATAATAAAATGCTAAATAATTTAATTTAATAGATAGAATAAGTGGGTTTCAGATAAACGGAGAAGAATAAGATGTTGTATTTGGAAGAAAAGAATAAAAGATTGGAGAAAATGTTGGATGAAGTAATAGAATCAGGAAAATTTAGATTGGAGGTATTAAAAGAGATGTTGCAAGATGAATATAAAAAATATGAGGTGTTGCATGTGGCGAAGAAAAATTTGAGTTGGGGTATAATGTATTGAGGAACGATATGATTGAAGTGTTAGGTACAATAGATAGAAAAAAAAAGAAGTAGGGAAAGACAGAGAATAAGAGAAAGAAGAAGATGATGATGATAAAGATGATAAGGATGATAAAGATAAAAAAGAAGATTATAAAGTTTGGTTAAATGAGAAGTTAAAAAAATATGAGCCGATATTAGAAGAAGAGTTAGCAAGTGAAGAAGAAGAAAGTAATAGTTTCCTGATAGTGTTAGAAGATGAGATTGGTGAGAGTAGTACACAGTATTGGGAGGAGAATATAGATGAGAATTATATGTGGAAGGATTAGATTTCATTTCTTTATTTTTCTTTGTATTACTAGTTATAAATATATTATAATAAATTTTTATCTTTTAGTATTTTTCTTTTGTTAATTTTAAATCTTCTTTTAAATCATATCTAAAATCAAATTTCTAACTAATTTAAATTTAAATCCTTAAAATCTTATTAGTAAAAAAAATAATATTACAAAAAAAAAATTCAAATTATAATCTTTCTATACTACTCTCTTGCTTTATATAATTCTTCCAGAATTATATCTATATTTGAATTAATTAAATTTAAAATTTCTAATCTATTTATCTCAATAGTTTAAATATTTGATACCTATAAGATTTATCTAATAAAGAATCTTACTAAACTTAAGGTTAGTAATATGTAATTATACTTTGTATTGTATAATATATATATATTAAAATAATTAAATTTATAACTTAATTAACAACTTATCCTTAAATCAATTAGATTTGTTGTAATGACACTTTAACAAAAATTCTTATGAATCTAAACAATTCCAGAATGCTGGAATATTGATATTAGGTTTGGAAATAATTTCTTATTTAATTTTGTTTGAACATAAGTATTGTAAGTGTAATATATCCCTAAATATTATAGAATTTAAATTTCTTATCACCTAATGTCCTTTCTCTTAAGTTTATAATTAATATTTTTAGATAAATAAGTTATTTATTTTTTAAAAATCTTACTAAGTTCAAGGTTAGTAAAATATATATTTGTACTTCACATTATATAAATCTTCAGATTTAAAATTTCATCAAATATATAACATAATAGAAAATTAACTTATCTTTAATTGCTGATCCAGATAAGATCAGCACAATTTCTATATTAGAATTTGGGGCAAAATCTCTATGATGTTAACTATATGCTAGAATCTGAGCAAAGTCGAATGAAAAGTATTTTTTTTATTAAGTTAACAACCAAAGCAAATTAATTGAAAGTTGTAGAGCTCATTGAAACGCATCTAATAGTAGTTAGATCATTCAAATTGACACAGTGAATACCGAAATATCACCAAAAAATGATTGGCTGACAATATAAAATTTCTATGTAAACAATACTTTGTTTATATATAATTTTATATAGTCGATTAGTTATTTTTTAGCAATATCACAGTATTCACCAGGCCAATTTAGATGATCTAACTACTATTAGATGCGTCTCAGTAAGCTCTACAACTTTTAATTAATTGACTTTAGTTGTTAGCTTAATAAAAAAATATTTTTCATTCAACTCCGCTCAGATTTCAATATATAATAAAAAGTTATATTGTACTTATCCCAAAAATTTCCTATTGTCCCAATATAGTAATTATGCCGATCTTATCCAGATCATCAATTAATTAGATTCATCATATCAATTTTTTAGTGATTAAAATATCACTTTTTATTTTAGTCAACTTTTTAATGTTATATGTACTATCAAGTGCAATCTAACTAAGTGCATCTTTATCTTTTGATATCAAACTTATACTATCATATATCATCTTTATCAAACTCAGGACGTATTTCAACCATTTCATTACAATATCATATTAAGGTGGTCTTCATTGATATATTGATTTTTCAATATATTGCCGCTATGAAAATCTTCATGAATGTATTCGGCTTTATATATTTTTTATTAAGTTTCTATCAACCACGTTGCTAAAAACACTAATTTAAATCCCTTCAGTGATTTTTTGAATATTTTCTAATCTGTTAAAAGAAATTCATTTGAACATCTTCATATGCTGCAGCTTTAAGTTAAACTTCTTTAATACAATTATTAACATCTTTATTTCATTCATCTGTTCTTCTGAGAGTTACATGATTAATATTTAGCTGGCATTGCTTTATATTGATTGCAGTTTGCAACTAACATATACTCATTTGTTAAAGTATTTTAGTTAGTCCGTATATTTTAGACTTTTGATTCTTTAATTTTTCAATACTTTTATTAAATCTGAGTTTGGCAAGCTGTAAAGTATCTCATCTACTATTACTAGTAGTTCAAATATCTATGAAGATGTTTGGGTTTTTGATTCTGATTATATCAGTGACATTAACTTTGTAATAGTGATAGATATTTTCATTTGCACAGTCTTCTCACTTAGACCAAATTCTATTGATTTCAATTCATTATTCGAAAGTTCTTTAGTAACAGAACTAGATATATCTTCTGTTTTGGATTTCGGCAATGCTGGAATTTCTTGTACATTCACTTTTGCTGAGATGCTAGAATCAGCTTCTTAAACTACTTTTGAATCTTGACTTATTTCTTTGACTTTTATATTTTAATATTTGATTCTTCCTTCCATAAATCTTGATGAATTTAGAAAATTTCACCATACTTCTTAGAGCGAATCATACATGGCGAAATACGTGACTTCGTTTTCAAGATTGTTTACAAAAATTCATTTGATGTCAAATTCGATAATTCATTTTTTTTTTTTTAAATCTTTCTTAAATTTTTCTTTCAACATAAAATTTATACTATCAAGATCTAAATTTTCAAATTTTGTGCAGTACCTATTATAGCCTTCAGCCCACCGGTACCAGGCTAGATTCACATCTAACGGGCTGGGCACTCCACATTTTCATGCATATAGCGACTTATAGACAGAGCACCTTAACCAATTTTCATGTATAAAGCAAATTACAGGCAGAGAACCTTAACCTTGGCAGTATACTTTTTTGTAAAAAGATAATTAAATTTTTTTTTTAAAATTGTTTTTGTTAAATAAATTAATCAATGTTATAATTATCACTTGCTCAACTATAAAAATCTTTTTTTTTAAAAATCGCTTGTATAAATCGGGAGTGTAATTGTGAAAACTTTAAACAATCAGATCAGAGTCGTAAAGAGAGGAGTAATAAAGACAATAAGAGTCAAAATCATTGTCGAGAGAGTTGTAGTTGAGATCGTCATTGATTAATAAACTAGATTTATAAAGTTCATATCTCACAGTTACCACCAAATGTTACGGGGTGAATTGTATTCTTTGATATATACAAATACGAAAATAAATAGTTTTAGGTGATTAGGCAACTCACCAGAGATGTGACGATAGTGATTTAGCAATAGTTTAGTTTTAAAATGATATTATCAAAGTGATTTATTCAATATTATATATTAGGAACATTATAATCCTGTAGGATAAAATGTCCTTTACAAGAGGAAAAATACAGAGTTTATATAACTTTTGCTATACTAATAGATTCTAAAAGCTTAGAGTAAATTAGATCTTTCATCATAAAAGATCAAAGAAAGATCACTATAACTAAAGAGGCTTACAATGATAAGTACAACATGATTATAATAATAAAGGCTTTGCCTTTACAACATCTATATTAAAACTATTTCTAATTCATTCTTGATTCTTGTTTTCTTCTCTTTAGATCTTCATTTGTTCTTTTGAAATTTTTCCTTGGATTTCGCATTGGTTATCATTTCCGATATTTGGTCAGTAAGCCTTATGTACTAGTCGATCTAGAATTCCAATGATCGATCTGTATAAAGTCATGAGTTTGCTATGCCGATTCATCGATCTACCTTTTAGCCCGTGACATTATATTAGAAAAGTAATTATTAAAAAATATTATAAATGAACAAATAAAAGATATAATAATTAAATAATATCATAGATAAGAGTATGATAAATAAAGTATAACAAAAGTCACTTTATTTTTTATACTAATAATTATTATACTTATCTCTTCAAATAAGATTTATAATAAGAATATAATAAATAAAGTATAGCAAAAGTCATATTTTATTTAGTATACTTATATTTATTATATTTTAATTATTATACTCAAAGATTTTAAACATGACACTTTCTAAATAATATTTATTAAAATATTTATTATATCTAAAAATTAAAATATAACTTTACTGCAAAAGATCTATTAAAATATTATAATTATTAAATATATTAAACTTTGATATATTTAAAAATAATATATAAATATATTATAATTATTAAAAACAAATCATAAATATCTATATATTAGTTTAAAAAATATATAAAGCTTAATATAACCTAAGCCTGCTTTAAAAAAATGTTTTTATTATCTAGACTTTGGTGTAATATATATATAAATAATTTTTACAATTGGTATTGAAAGTTCCATATTAACTACTTTAGTAAGAACATCATTAATTGTTTGATTTTTTAAAGAGCTATTAGTGTTTAATTTATAACATAGTTTGGTAAATTTCAATAATAAATATTAAATAAAATTAATATATTTGATGTATTATAACAAAAAACAAGTTCATACTTAATAAATATATATGTTGAAGATATTGTTATAGTTTAAAAATTTTTTAAAAAGTTTTTTTTTAAAAAGTTTTTTTTTTTAGGAGTTTTTTTAAAAAATTTTTGTAAGAAAAATTTTTTATTTAACAAAAATAATGAATTTTTTTATATTAAACTATAAACTATATATATCAAAATAGAAATTAAAATTAGATATTTACTAATCTTATATATTAATATTTTGTGATTAAAAAAGAGGCGATTAACAATATAATACTAAACTTAGTATAAAAAAATTATAACTATGTATATATATACAAAGACTAAATTAAAAATATTTATTTTGCTTCTGTAAATTTATAAGAATAAATTTTTTTATTATGTTCTTCTTATTAACACTCTCTACAACTTCAATTTGCAATAAAAGCACTATCTCTTTTATGAGTTAAGGCTACAACACTATCTTGAAACAAATCTTCTTTTTCTTTTAGAAGCAAACTTCTTTTAAAGCTTCTCTTCTAATGATTTCTGAAATAACTTCTTTAACTTATTTTTACTTAAAACTTAAATCAAAGCTAAACAAATTTCAAACCTTAAATATATACTATGCAATAAAAAATTCTTTAACAATCAATATATAGTCAATCAAAAAGAATACAAGAACTCTCCCTGATGATCACTTGTACCAAAATTTCGGCTAACAGAAAAACACAACCTTTGTTAGAGAGACGTAGCCTTACGTTGTGGTTTGTCTAGAGGTCAACTATCTTGTAGGAGGCTCCTCTAAAAAGACATTCAGCATGCAAGCCAAGGGCATTATTATACAAGATACTGGCAGGCAGTGCCCTGTAATAAAAATCTTGGTAAAGAAAGAAAATTTCAAAGTAGGCTTTTACTTCGTCGATGAAGCACTAGGGCTGTTACTTCAAAGAAGAACACAGGGGAAACAACAAAAGTTCTGGACTTCCAATACTCTCTTTAGAAATTTTTAAAGTACTTGTTACTAATACCTTCTACCATATTTCTGCGGTTTTGGATTTTTTTTAGAAATTTCAGCCAAAAAGTGAGAAAACCGGCGTACCTCTCCAAAAGATCAGCAGTATTTACACCTTCCAAATTAGAACGTGTCTATTGAAATGAAACTTCCTACAAGCTTATTTGGATTCTGCTTTCCCAAATAAACAATGACAGCAGTACTGTTTACAGTATAGGGGATCAGAGGGATCACATATAGAAATTTTTTATAGTTAGACATTTTTTTTTCTTTTTTTTTCCACTTCTTTTAATACATATAGTGTTAGGTTAGATTTTTTCTATGCAATATTATATAATTTCTGTAGCCTGGCACAGGCAAAAATAGTGTTGCCATGGTCGTCTTCTTTGTAGCCTTTTCTCCTTTTCTCTATTTTTTTTTTTGTATACGTTTTTTGTTTCGTTTAGTTTAGATTTCCCCTCTTTTTTGTATTTCCTTTTATTTTGATAAATTTCCCATTGTTCTTGTGGTAGAATTTTTCTATCTAGGAGGCTAGAAGAAGAAGGTTGGGAAAGAAGGCAATCATGACAAGCTGGTAAACCAGGTCAGTGAACCGGGGCGGGTTGGCTTGATATAGGTTAAACCAAACCAGGAAGATTAAATCATCTTTGGCAAATCGCACACAGGTGCATGAGTACTTAGGTACTCTATATAAGTAACCAGGTGAGTTACATTCCGGTAATAAGATGTAATATAAAAATCCTTTAGATTGTTGTATATGATTAATAAAAGCAAGGCATGTAGTATGATCATCAATATATATATATATATATATAGTCAATCAAGTAATCTAATTAGTAAATTATATCTAAATCAAATATTCAAAAAATCTACAAAAATAATTTTCATAATTCTGTCAGTTGTAGTATAGTAGTTTGAGCATATAGCACTGCTGAGCTATATGTTTAACATCACTAGTAGTATGCTAGACCCAATACACTAAGGTAGTATTACTGACTAATAAGAATACTTAATTTTTATTATTTTTTTAAAATTTTTTTTAATCTCTTTATTTATTACTTTCATTACTTTTTTAAAAATTTTTATATATTATAGTTCAAGTATATAGTGTTGCTACAAAGCTATAAATTGAAATTTTTTCTCTTTTGCTATCTTTTATCTTTTCTTATTTTTAGTCTAACTTTACTCTTTATTATTTTTATTATTATTATTACTATTTTTATTTACTTCATTATAGCTATCATCTTTGAAACCAATAATATAACCTCTATTTAAAATAATTCACTTAGTACAAATTTTCTTTATTCTATTAACATATACCAAAATTATTATATTACAAAGAATCTATCTCTTATATATCCTATAGAACTTTTATAAAACTTTATATTTATCCAGAATTCATCTAGATTTGTATAAATTTTTCAAATTTAGATAAGTTTTGGCTTAGGTTGCAAATAAATAATTAGTATAAGCTCTTATTCTTGTATATAATTTATATTTATTTGTTATTATACAAGTTAAGTTTTTTATATAATTTTATTATAT